CTCTGTAATAGAATTCTATATGCTAGTGTTGGACTTGTGATTTTTGCATCCATATTTCTGAGATCTCTTTTTGTAATACCATCATTTAATAAGAGATAAGGCTCTTTATCTGCTATTATGAATGAATTATAAAAATTCCCCTTTTTTCTGTATTCTATTTATTGATTTTTTTAGAGAAAGAGAGAGAGAGAGAGAGAGAGAGAGAGAGAGAGAGAGTACGCGCACGCCCTGGCCGGCTAACTAGTTGGTTAGAGCATTGTCCCGATACACCAAGGTTGCAGGTTCAATCCCAGTCAGAGCACATACAAGAATCAACCAATGAATGCATAAATAAGTGGAATAACAAATTGATCTCTCTCTCTCTCTTTTTAAAAACCTTTTATTGATTGACTTTAGAGAGAAAGAAAGAAGAAAGAGACACCAATTTTTGTTGTTCCACTTATTCATGCATTCATTGGTTGATTCTTGTATGTGTCCTGACTAGGGATCAAACCCACAACCTTGGTGTAATGAGATGATGCTCTAACCAACTGAGCTATCATGCCAGGACCTTTCTCATATTCTAAAACCATTCATATAACGTGGAACAGAATTATCTCTTTCAGGAATGGTTGGAAATATTAAACAGTGAATCTTCTGGGTCAGGTGTTCGTTCTTTGGTCATTTTGATAACTTTCTCAATGTCCTCAATTGTTGCTCAATCCTTGTTTTGCATTTTTTAAAGAAAAAAATATGTAATTTAAAATTTTACACAGGTTTCAAATTCCTCATAGTTATATAAAAATTCCCTTATGTTTATTAAATTTCTGTGATGAGTTTTAAAATTGGGGAGTGATAGATTTGCTCACTGTCTTATGATGTTTCACAGGTGATACATATGTTAGAAATGATTATATTGTAGACTTTATATATGTGCAGTTTATTATGTCAATTATACCTCAAATTTCAAAAAAGTAATTTTATAAAGCCTACCAATTTCATAAGTCTTTTCAAAGTGCCAGCTGACATTTATTAATTCCGTTGTTCATGATTTCTGATTTTTAAAATTATCTTCTGAAATATAATACATTTATTATAGATAAAAAGAGATGGTGCATGCTGTCAGTGATTCATTTCATGATAGTTTCATATATGATTGTTAATTTGTTATATATGTGTGTGTGTGTGTGTGTGTGTGTGTGTGTGTATACCCTCACCTGAGGAGTGGATATTTTTTCCTTTGATTTTTTAGAGAGTGTGGGAATGAGGGAGTAAAGGGGGGAAGGTGAGAGAGAGAGAGAAAGAGAAACATTAATATCCATGTGAGAGAGACATATTGACTGGCTTGGTTGCCTCCCACACTTACCCTGACTGGGGCCAGGATTTAACTGAAACCCAGGTATGTGCGCTTGACTGGGAATTGAACTCATGACCCCCAGTCCTTGGGCTGACCCGAGAGAGAGAGAGAGAGAGAGAGAGACATTCACTTGAGAAGAGAAAAACACATTGATTGGTTACCCCCTGCTTGCACCCCATCCAGGGCTGAGGATCAAACCTGCAACTAAGGTTCATGCCCTTGACTGGGAGTCTAACCCACGACTCTTCTGGTCGACACTCTACTGAGCAAAACTGGCCAGGACTGTTTTATGTCTTTGTTACTACCTTGATTTTATTGTTCCCAGGCTGTTTTTATTTTATTTATTTTTTAAATATATTTTTATTGATTTCAGAGAGGAAGGGAGAAGGAGAGATAGGAACACCAATGATGAGAGAGAATCATTGATTGGCTGTCTCCTGGATGCCTACGATCTAGCCCGCAACCCAGGCATGTGCCCTGGCTGGGAATCAAACCTTGACCCCTGGTTCAGTGGTTGATGCTCAACCACCGAATCACACTGGCTGGGCCCAGGCTGTTTTTTAAATATTAAGAAAAGGAAAATATAGATGGAGATGCAGTGTTGTTGGTTTGGTTTTGTTTTTCAGGCCAGTTTTGTTTTGGGGCCAGGAAGCTCTGGATGTGGAGAAAGTGTAAAAGTGAAAAGACCTGGGCTCTGGCCCATAAAACAGAGACCCTTGGGTGTGAGTTAGCTATGGACTGAGATGCAAAGATTAAACTAGAAATACAAGGAGCAGATAGCTTCCTGGGAATGTACATCAAGAATTACTGCAAGCAGTTGGTCAGCATAAAAAAGCAAAATGCATCTGGATTCCCTTTATATTCTAACACTTTGCATAGCCAAGAGTGAAATCCCTGATAATGGAGACACTTTGCAGAAAGACACTGAGAGGCTAGGGCTAGGCTTGATTCTGCTAGCCACGTTGGAGAGGGGTCAGAATAGTGGCCATTGCCTTTCTACAAAGTTAAGTGTGAGGCTTGGTATTTAGAACAGGAGATTCAAACTCTTCTTATGGAATGCTGAGCTTGCAGCATAGTTATACCAAGGTAAAAAGGTCTTGCTATTTTTGAGGATATTTTGATGCCATCTGTATGATTCAGATCAACCCAGATTTACTGATTATTCTAGGCATAGCTTTGTGCCAGGCACTACAGGGGAACAGAAATGCATTTGATATGGTCTCTATTCTTAAAGACCTTAGAATATAGTGCAAGAGCCAGATAATTATGATAGCAGCCAAAACTTTGCCTACATTCTTGCAGGCACTATTCTAAGGTTTTTATGTGCATTACAACAGCCCAATGCGGTGGGTACTATTTTTCACCTCTCAAAATGGGGGAGGAGGAAATTGAGATACAGAGAAGTTAAGTAATTTGCCTAGTGATACACGGCTAGTAAATGGCAGCACCAGGGCTGAAACCCAAACACTGGTTCTAGTCTTTGTTCTTAACTTTATACTGTAGAGCAGTAGTTCTCAAAGCCTGGTCCCCAGATTAGCAGCATCAACCTCACCTGGAAACTTATTAGAAACTAGAGGCCGGATGCACGAAATTCGTGCAAGAGTAGGCCTTCCTTCCCTTGGCTGCCAGGACCAGCTTCCTTATGGCACCCGGGACCCAGGCTTCCCTCACAGCCCCGGCTTCGTTCGGAAGGACCTCTGGTGTAATTAGCATATTATGCTTTTATTATTATATATGCACATTCTTGGGTTCCACCCAAGACCTACTGAATCACAAATTCTGGAGGTGGGGCTCAGCAACCTGTGTTTCGTTTTTTAAATATATTTTTTATTGATGTCAGAGAGGAAGAGAGAGATAGAAGCATCAATGATGAAAGAGAATCATTGCTCGGTTGCCTCATGCATGCCCCACACTGGGGATCAAGTCCGTAACCGGCATGTGCCCTGACTGGGAATCCAACCATGACCTCCTGATTCATAGGTCAATGTTCAACCATTGAGCCACACCAGCTGGGCTCAGCAACCAGTGTTTTAACAAGTTCTCTAGATTATTCTGATGCCTGCTGTTTGAGAACCTCTGCTAAGCAAGGCAGACTGTGATGTGGGTCAGAAATTAATCTCTCTATGGTTAGGGAGTGGGTATGTCTGTGTCTTAAGTTCCTAGCCTTCTGCACTGCATTTAGTGTAAAGTAGGCATCAAAAATGCATATGGATGAATTCATATGAATGAATGTAAGGGAAAGGTGATGTTTGAGCTGGATCTCTTACCACCTATCAATTGCCACAGACCAAATGAGAGGAATCTTCTTAGAAACTGTGAGACTAGCAAGGAAGTGACATACTTTGAGCAAAATATAAGGGACTACACTACCAAAAGGAGCCATCAGAATGGCAGGAGGATCATGTGAGAGTACTTAAGGAAGTAAACATGTCAGGATTTGGGGAACAGCTGAGTTGGGTGGGGGGGAGAAGGAAAGGAGAGAGAGAAACTTCATTTCTGGAATGGAGATGCCATTTGCAGAGACAGGATGCATAGTACAAGCATGTGTGTGGGGTAAATATAAAGAGTTTGATTTTGGACTCTTTAAATTTGAAGTGATGGTAGGCTATCCAGATGGAGCTGTCCAGCAGACACTTGGAAATGTGAGTGTGAGATTTGTGTGGAAATGGAGATTTGGAAAGATAGTTGAGCCATAAGAATGGATGAAGTCTTCAAGGGGAAAATGAAGAGTGGAATTAGAAGAGAGCTGGGTTTGAAACCATGGTGAACACTACTGACAAGAACTTAGGCACTAGATCCCAGAAAATGCTGAAGCCAGGAGGAGGCTAAAAAAGGAAGAAGTGGCATAGTGTCACATGTTGCAGAGAAATAAGAATGGAAAATTATTCTTTGAATTTCGACACAAAAAGTCTTAAGTGGTGAGGACAGAAGCAGATTGACTGAGTGAGTGAGCGAGCAGTAATGAGAAAGTGGAGACAGGTGCTTCCAGGTCCCATCCACAGAGGTCTGTATCTGCACTTAGGTTGAAACTGTGACACCTTCCAGGGTAGTCAGGGTCTCTCATATCTGTCGTCTCAACGCCCAGCACTCAGCTGGAAAAGAGAGTGGCGTCAGGGAGTTCAGTGAGTCAAGGACAGAGAAAGGCTTCGGGGAGGTAGTTGCTTCGCAACCCAAGCGTGAAGGATGAGAGAAATTAGGAGGAAAGGTGGGAGGCAGGGCCTCTCGGTGATGGGGTGCTCGGAGTGTTGAGGGGGACCAGGGAATGAGGTGGGGTTCCTGTAATGTGCGCGTGACTCTGTGAGAAGAGGGGAGGCTATGTGTAGGATTGGAGGGACCTATTTGGGAAAAAAGACAGGGCCAGCGGCTGCTTCAGGGAGTGAGGGAGTGTCCCCATCCCAACTCCGCCCCGCCCCACTTACGCCACTGCGCGGTAACGCTGCGCCTCTACCGAAGCCCTTCCTCCGGGCTGCAGGACGACGGGTGACCGCCAGGGGCCGCTGCCTCGGGCCCCGGGTGCCCCCGCCTCTCTCCATTTGCCTCTGTTGCC